TACGGAGAACCGCGGCTCCGGGTGCCGACAAAGCAGCCGCGTGGGGCATAGCAGCGGCGCTGGCCGAAACAGCCGCACTGGCGACCCTGGAACACCTCTGCCCGGGAATTTCCTAGTCTGTGGGCAATAAAAACGCGGCGTCCACTCACCCTCTGCGCTTTCACTGGGAGCTGCAATCCTGAGCTGTTCCTAAAGGGCCATCTTCCAAAATGCCCTCAAATTTAAATGTCACTCCCATATAGCAATAAAGTCCACATCTCTGGATTATCTATTACTTGTATTATGGTATGCATTTATACTGACTAGAGTGTTAACCCTTATTATGCCTTAAAAGTGCATTTGTGAAATGTTGCTTTTGATGTAAAGCTCATAACTTAAAATTTAGTATTTACATTAAGTAGGAGTAGGATTAGAATAATGAGAGTGATTGAAACTGTGGGAGATTGATAGTTGATGGTATTAGTGTGGCTCCTTGGATACCATTTTCAAAACCACCAAAATATATTGATCCATATTTAAAGTTAGAGCAATGATAGAAATGATGATTCACAGTTTAACCTTCTGAGGCTTGTCATTAGCGTTTCACATGTAGGCTTTTAGCTTTGATTTGAATGCTTCACAGACGAATTCAATCTAAACATATTTCCACAACAGCATAATATTATTTAGGCAGTTTTCTGAAGTCTGAGACCATCATGCTTATTTTGTGACGTTTTGAGGTTTCATGGCTTAAATCCATTGTAACATTATGTCAGCACTTTGGGGGGCTGAAGAGGGCGGATCACCTGAGGTTGGGAGTTCAAGACAACAGGAATGTTTATAGCATTTTTATTCATAGTTACCAGAACAGATAGCAATTCAGATGTCCTTCAACAGGTGAGTAGAAAAACAAACCATGTAACATCTATAAATGGAATACTACTCAACAATAAAAATGAATGACCTAATACTGAGAGCCAGGTCGGCTGTAGAAACTCCTACCCAGGCGGTGCTGAAAGAAATGAGAGGCAGACACCCAGATAGAACAGTAAAGTGGGTCTATCTAGGGGGCCAGCAGCCTTCTGAACTGAAAGCCTTAGGGGCTGACAGCATTCCAAGCTGAAGGCTCTCAGTAGACCCCAACCCATGAATTTATTCTCTCTGAACAGGTGATCATTATTAACAAACAGATATTCAGTATTTTCTCATAACACAAAATATGCCAAGTAGGCAGCTGGTGCCCGCTTACCACTGGTCACAGGCAAACTAAAAAGTATTCTCCATGAGGAAGCCATGGGGGCAAGGTCAGATATCTTAAAGAATTGTTTTAATCGGTGTATGATATTTACACATTTATTTATACATTTTCTTGCCACTTTGGAATGCCCTAGTAGTTTTCTACTTGGCTGGGGCAGGGGTTATTGGGGGGTGTAAGGCCGGCTGCCTCACAGAGGGTTAAACAGACTCATCCATCTCTCTCTCTGCGTCTGATAACCACGTCATCACCCAAGCTCATTATCTGGCCTTGCCACAGGGCTTCTCCGCACCTGCCTCTGCCAGACCCAAGCCCACGTTCAGCACTAAATTATGCATTTAACCCCCAGCCCGCTGTTGATAAACCCTACAGGAAAATTTTTTAAAGAAGCCCCATCAGACCCTGCCCGGTAGCAGTCTGCTCTGTATGCCCCTGGACGGCCCACTTACCCAAAGTCCCGCCCACCTACCAATGGCAACTAGTTTCAGGCACTTCCTGCTTCCTGACAGCCAATAAAATTGCCTTTGCTTTGTTTCCCCAATAGCCAATCAATCGCCTTCCCTTCCCATAATACCCCATGACCTAAACAGCTGGGCACGACTTCTCAACAACCTAATGCCTCCAATGGGTGTGGTGGCTCATACCTGTGATCCCAGCACTTTGGGAGGCCAAAAATTAACTGCGCATGCCTGCACATGCCTGTAGTCCCATATACTCTGGAGGCTGAAACAAGATAATCACTTGAACCCGGGAGGTGGGGGTTGCAGTGAGCCAGGATTGTACCCCTGCACTCCAGCGTGGGTGACAGAACAAGACTCTGTCTCAAACAAACAAACAAAAACAAACAAAAAAAGTAATGCTCACACCACAATAGAAATATATCTTAAATGACTTTCACTAAGTCAAAGAAGCCAGACCCTGAAATTGGACATCACTACAGTTTCTGACATTGTGATAAAGGCAAATTTATGGAACAGAGAACAGATCAGTGGATGCCAGAAGCTAGGGAAAAAAAGGAAGAGCTGAGTAACAATAGACTGCCCAGGGAATTTTCATGATGATGGAACTCCTGTGGATGGAACTGTTGTGATGGATAGTGCACTCTGCATTCGTCAAACCCACAAAATTGAGCTGGGCCTGGTGGCTCACACTCATGGTCCCAAATACTCAGGAAGCTGATGCGGAAGGATGGCTTGACACCAGGAGTTTGAAGCTGCAGTTAGCTATAATTGTGCCACCGCTTTGCAGCCTGGGCAACAGAGCAAGACTCCATTTCTAAATAAAAGGCAAACCAAAAACCATCCATATAATTGTACATCACCAGGAGTGAACTTAATTAAAATGATCAAACAAGGTGTGGATGCAATGCCGACTGTGACACTTGACTCTATTTCACAGATGTATGTATCACATAGTGTAGAAAGAGTGAGGGAAAAGGAGCTCAACTTTGTAAAAACAATGTTTTGAGTGGATGCTCTAAGACTGACAACAAAAAGAACTGTGCATAAATACTGCAGTACCGGTAAATTCTCACAGGAGTTAGCAGTTTCAAAACCATATGTATACTAGCATTTCAGCATTTAAGTAATAAGTGAAAATAACAGCAGTGGATGAGACAGCTAGAATAAACCCTGGGTAAGAGATATCAATGTGGGCGAGGTGCAGTGGCTCAAACCTGTAATCACAGCACTTTGGGAGGCTGAGGCAGACGGATCACGATGTCAAGAGATCAAGACCATCCTGGCCAACATGGTGAAACCCCATCTCTACTAAAATATAAAAATTAGCTGGGCGTGGTGGTGCGCGCCTGTAGTCCCAGCTACTCAGGAGGCTGAGGCAGGAGAATGACTTGAATTGGGGAGGTGGAGGTTACGGTGGGCAGAGATTTTGCCACTGCATTCCAGCCTGGTGCCTGAAGACAGAGGAAGACTCTGTCTCAAAAAAAAAAAAAGAAAGAGAGTAAGCAAGTAGAACCACAAAACCAACCAATGACTACAGCTGTTCATAGCTTTGGTAAAAGGCTTTATGGAAAAAAAAAAAAAAAAAAAAGTTATCAATGTGATGTAAGATTAACTTTAATATATACAGAGATACAGAAACATAGTCTTAGTAATATGGATTGCATTCAGGAATAAGTAAACACATTTATCTCTTAGGTCTGTCTGCTGAGAGTGCCTAGAAACACACCCTCACAGCAATGAGCACACCTAGAACTCAGATTTCGAATCTCTCTGATAAAATGTACCTGGGCTTCTAGAAAATGTGGCTGATGGGGCCAGGCATGGTGGCTCACGTCTATAAACCCAGCACTTTGGGAGGTCAAGGTGGGTGGATCACGAGGTCAGGAGTTCGAGACCAGTATGGCCAACATAATGAAACCCCATCTCCACTAAAAATACAAAAAATTAGCTGGGCATGATGGCACATGCCTGTAATCCCAGCTGCTTGGGAGGCTGAGGCAGGAGAATTACATGAACCCAGGAGGCGGAGGTTGCAGTGAGCTGAGATCGCGAGCCATTGTAACTCCAGCTTGGGGAAGAGTGTGAGACTCTGTCTCAAAAAAAAAAAAATACGGCTGACTCGGCCAGGTGTAGTGGCTCACACCTGTAATCCCATCACTTTGTGAGGCCGAGATGGGTGGATCACTTGAAGTCAGGAGTTTGAGACCAGCCTGGCCAACATAGAGAAACCCCTCTCTACTAAAAGTACAAAATTAGGCTGGGCTCAGTGGCTTACGCCTATAATCCCAGAACTTTGGGAGGAGGAGGCAGGTGTATCATGAAATCAAGAGATCAACACCATCCTGGCCAACAAGGTGAAACCACGTCTCTACTAAAAATACAAAAATTAGCTGGGTGTGGTGGCATGTGCCTGTAGTCCCAGCTACTCAGGAGGCTGGGGCAGGAGAATCGCTTGAACCCGGGAGGCAGAGGTGGCAGTGAGTGGAGATCGTACCACTGCACTCCAGCCTGGGTGACACAGTGAGACTCCGTCTCAAAAAAAAAACCAAAACGAAACAACAAAAACAAAAAAGAAAGTGGCTGGGCGCGGTGGCTCACGCTTGTAATCCCAGCACTTAGGGAGGCCGAGGCGGGTGGATCACGAGGTCAAGAGATCGAGACCATCCTGGTCAACATGGTGAAACCCCGTCTCTACTAAAACCACAAATAATTAGCTGGGCATGGTGGCGTGTGCCTGTAATCCCAGCTACTCAGGAGGCTGAGGCAGGAGAATTGCTTGAACCCAGGAGGCGGAGGTTGCTGTGAGCCGAGATTGCGCCATTGCACTCCAGCCTGGGTAACAAGAGTGAAACTCCGTCTCCAAAAAAAAAAAAAAAAAGGAAATTAAGGAAGTGTTTTTTAAAAATGATAAGGATATGATGAAAGTATCCAAAAGCTAATCTATAATAGCTTTCAAGGACACCAGGGATAATTTGAGCGATGTAATAATATAATACTGGATGAAATGAAGAGTGTGAAGAAAAAGTAGCTGAGCTAATTAAAATATCAACGACATGAATGAATTTTAACCGAATTTTGGTAAATAAAAGAAGCCAAATCCAGCAGCTATATATTATATAATTCAATTTATTTGACGTTCTGAGAAAGGTAAATTCATAAAACAGAGGAGATTAATGGGTGCCAGGGGTTGGGGTGAAAGGAGGGTTATGTGACAATGGTTAAGAGCAAAATAAATATCCATAAGTCCATACTGATGTAAATAAATATCAAATAAATAAATGTGGTAAATGAAAATTCTCCCTTAGCGAAGAATTCTAACTAATAAATACAGAAGCAACAAGTGAAACAGGCATGAAAGGAAAGTATCTTGGGCCCCCAAAATCACTAAGCTAAAGGGAAAACTCAAGCTGGGAACTGCTTAGGACAAATCTGCCTCCCATTCTATTCAAAGTCATCCCTCTGCTGGGATAAATGCATATCAGATTCCCGCCTTTGGAAAGGCTATTCAGAATCTTAAAAGAATTCAACCATTTGTTTTTCACCTACTTTGACCTGAAAGCACCCTCTCTGCTTCCAGGTGTCCCACTTTTGTCGCCTTTTTAGACACAACCGATGTTCATTTTACAATGTTGATTGATGTCTCATGTCTCCCTAAAATGTTTAAAACCAAGCTATGCTCTGACCATCTTGGGCACGTCAGGACCTTCTGAGGCTGTGTCACAGGTGTGCATCCTCAAACTTGGCAAAACAAACTTTCTAAATTAACTGAGACCTGTCTCAAGTTTTTGGGGTTCACATAGGAAATTGCCATTTGGAACACCACAGTAATAATGGCTGCTGCCAGGATCCACCAATGATATCTACAATTAGTGGAAAAATAGAAACAGAGTATTTGCAGGTATTTGCAGTCTCAAAGAATCTCTTCCTGAATTTACTAATCAGTGTGGTAATTAAGAAATATAAACACAGCCTCGCTCTTGCTGCTGCCCTGAGGTGAACTAAAGCCAGCAGTCCCGCATCATGTTGAAGCCCGGCTGGGTCACTGGGGCCCTCAGGAAGCTCAAGGCCCAAAGTGTGATCGGGACCATCATACTGGCAGGCTAGGCCATGACCGGGGCCCTCACTAAGCCCAGTGCTGGGTCAGCAAGGCGTTTCCATCAACCAGTTTTGCAAGGAGTTCAATGAGAGGACAAAGGACATCAAGGAAAGCATTCCTCCACCTGCCAAGATTTTTGTAAAGCCTGACAGGACATTTGATATCAAGATTCCTATTTCCCGAAGGCAGCAGCTGGGACTGAAAAGGGGGCCTGGCAGACAGGGAAAGAGGTGGCAGGCCTGGTGTGTATGAGATTGCCCGAATCAAAGCTCAGGATGAGGCATCTGCCCTGCAGGACGTACCCCTGTCCTCTGTTGTCCAGTCCATCATCAGGTCTGCCCATTCCCTGGGCATTTGCATGGTAAAGGACCTCAGTTCAGAAGAGCTTGCAGCTTTCCAGAAGGAACAAGTCATCTTCCTAGCTGCTCAGAAGGAGGCCGATTTGACCACCCAGGAAGAAGATGCCAAGAAGTGATCCTTGCCCTCCCAACTTCCAGATTTCAAAGCAAACAGCTGGGAAGGGGGCCAGATGCAAAGGCTGTGCCCAAGGGGAGGAAGGGAGGTTACGCTAATATGATTGTTTTCATGGCTTTGAATGATATGTCTTTGTACATCTAGCTGTATCAAGGCATCAGGCCTGAATAAACATTCTTTCTCACCGCCCCCACCCCCGCCAAATATAACCCCAAAGTTAAAATGGAGCTTATTTTCTTTTCCCTTGAGTATGGGCTGGACTTATGGACCCACTTCTATGTATAGACTGGACAGGGAAAAATAGGGAGAAACCTATCAGACACTACCTTAACCAAGTGTTAAAAGACAAATTTTAGAAAATTAAGTTTGGCATACTTAATTTCAGCAAAGAAAGATTCCTGAATCAGACAACACTCAGAACCAGAAGAGCTTCAGAGAACTCTATAAAGTGGGCAGGGAATATTTATAGATAGAAAACAGAAGTGCTCTACAGAAACAGCTTGACTGGTTATAGCTCAGCTTTGGCCTTATTTGGAAATGGTCTGATTAGTTGCCAGCTTGTAACTGGCTGAGGCTCAGCTTCTGTTAATTGGCTGACTCAGCTATTTGTTATAAAAGTATACTCCTAAGTTAGGCTTTGTTTACACAGCAAGGTAGGTTGTAGTTCTTTACATAGGCACTAAAGGTAGGGAGGCAGCCTCAGGACAAATTTAAGTTAATTTAATACATGTGATCATGGTCGACTAACCAGTAAAAAAATCATGTTATCATGCCACGTGATATCACACAATGGGAAAGCCACAATCTGTTTGTGGTGTGCTTCCTAAAAACGCACAACCTCAGTCTCATCAGCAGAATGTTATTGCCTTACTGGGTTCTTCTTGCCTGCTGGCCAGAAGTTAAACTATAGGCTGAGGGTGATGGCTCATACCTGTGGACTGAAGTCAAGAGGGCATGTTTTCATTTCCGTATCAAGGTCACGAAAGACAAGCTAAGACGAAGAAACGATTACACACTGGCCAAGACTGAGACATGATAAGTAAATGTACTTGATATCCTGGATGGGATGCTAGAACAGAAAAAGGGCATTAGTGGAACAACTGCTGAAATCTGAATAAACTCTGCAGTTAACAGTACTCGTACCTATGTTATTTTCTTAAGTTTTGGTAAATATACCATGGTTATGTAAAACCTAGTAGAATCTGGGTGAAAGGCATATGGCAACTATCTTTGCAACTCTTCTGTAAATCTGAAATTACGAGCAAATAAAAAGTTTAAAAAATGGACAATGACCAAAGAGTTCATTTTTTAACGAAAAGTTTTAACACATCCATAGTGTGCTGAAAATGCCAGATGTGCACATAAAAGAATGTTATGTGTAGCTCTGGGTAAAGTATGGTTGGTTTGGGAGATGAGAGTGTGTTTTCTTCCTTAAATTTGTTACTCAAACGCTTTTTTTTTTTTTTTTTTGAGACGGAGAGTCTTGCTCTGTGGCCTGGCTGGAGTTCAGTGGCGCGGTCTCGGCTCACCGCAACCTCTGCCCCCCGGGTTCAAGTGATTCTCCTCAGCCTCCAGAGTAGCTGGGATCATGGGCCACCATGCCCAGCTAATTTTTGGATTTTTAGTAGAGAAGGGTTTCACCGTGTTGGCCAGGATGGTCTCGATCTCTTGACTTTGCAATCTGTTCACCTCAGCCTCCCAAAGTCCTCGGATTACAGGCCAGAGCCACCATTCACGGTTTTTAAAAACCATATAAACAATTTTACGTTTGGCTCTTTAATTATTAGCTTGTGTTTTTCCTTATTCCAGAGAATAACCATACTGGTCAGAGATGTTAGTTTTCTCTTCTAGACTTTCAGTTAAAAGTTAACATGCATGTTCATGAATGAATGCAAGCACATCTTTCCTTCTCTTGGCGTGGTTCTAAAAGGCACCTTGGTTTGATCACAACCTCTGCGGAAGCTGGAATCCTGGCTCCAGGCAGGAGTGGGAACTGAGACAGTAATCTTCCAACCCACTAAACAAGGCTGTTTTGTAGGAGAGCCTTGTTTATGACGAGCAGGATGATATATATAATGGGGAATCTTGAGAAATATACTTAACAATTTATGTGTCAGACACTGGTTTAAGTGCTTTTACAACATAAAGTGCCTTTAATTTTCATAAAACCCCTGCTAACTAGCTAGGCACGATATTTAGTCTCATTTTACAACTGAGGGGTGCGGCCAAAACAGGTAGGCACCGTCCCGACGCTTCACTTGAGGTAGCACTCTTCCAGGCCCGGCAGCCAGTGGCCCAACTCCTGCGCCCTGCCGCCGCGCCACTTCCTCTGCGCATGTGCATCCCCGCCTCCACGCTCCCCCCCCAACCCCACCGCCCCGCGCGTCCTTCCCAGGCCTCCAGTCCCTCGTGGGAAACAAATCCCTCGCCTCTGGGTCCACGCGGCGAGGAAGCGGCCGGTGAGACCCGGAGGACTGGGTGAGGGCTAGGGTGTCCCCGTGCTGCCCGGAAGGCGGGGCGGGCGAGAATTCGGCGGTAGGTAGGGACCCCAAAGCCTGCAGTGTCTGCGGAGTTGAAGTACGGCGGGGCGAGGGCGTCTCTGTCCCAAGGGTCCAGATCCGGTGTGAGAACGCGAGTGCCCGGGCTCGCGGGGTTCATACGTGTCCAGTCCCTGCGCCTGGCGTGTAAGCGCAGTCGTGTGGCCGCGGGTGGGGAGGGAACCGGCTGCGGGGGAAGGGACAGCGCACGCATGCGTAGCGTTTGTGACGTTTGCCGTGGGCGTGCTCATTACGTTGTGGCGTGTGCGTGTGCGCTTTTTGTGCGCTGTGCTGGCGGGGTGGGGGCGGGACCGCGAGGGGAGAGTGGCTGCGCCAGGTCCTCGACAAATGAATTAGTCAGACAGTATTACCTATGGGAGACTCGTTTTTCCTCTCTGTAAATTACGGATATTAGGAATACTTGCCGCTTCAGGTTGTTTTGAGCACTTGCATTGTTTAGGTGCTGTATTTACTGGGTGTGCGTTCCCTGGGAGAGTCCGGGGGAGACGGCGCCTGCACCGGCCCCAGGGCCTCGCTGCCCGTGGAGTGCAAGAGCAAAGGGGCTGGCCTAGCTGCCCACTAGGGCCCCTTTTGGCTCTGATCGTCCCCGTATCCCAACTTATTATTTATACGTTGCGCGTTCGTTTATGTATTAGGTATAATCATGGCGCAGTATCCTGAAGCCGTCGGAGTCTGTGTGCCGGTGGAAGGTCTGGGACAAGTTTAAGAAGAGAGGTGAGCTGGAGCTGAGGGGTGGGTGCGTGCACGGCTGATAGGAGCGTCACCTCTGGAGAGTCTGAGGGCAGGGATGGGTGAAAGGCTCACGGCCACAGCAGAGGAAATGCTGTCATCATCCCTCTGCGAACACCCGGGATGTCCTGATGAGCTGCTGAGCTTCCTCCTCTCGCAGGATGGTAGTGCAGGCAGGTCCTACCTGGATTATCTGTTTTGACCTTATTTGAAAGATGGAAAAACAAAATTGAATTTGAGGAGGTGACTAGTTCAGATCTTGTCAACTGTTAGAGGCACAACCGAGGTTAGAAGTCAAGTCTGCAGTTTCCCGGGCCACTGCTGCCCATTTTGTTACTTCTATATCACAGTTTCTCATTAAAAGATCCTTTTGAGGAATTGTTAGCAAATTAGAACAAACATTTTTTAAAAGTTTATCTTGCCTTAAATACTCTGTCCCTTTTTTAGAGGTTTTTTTTTTTTTTCATTATCTGACCTCAGGGGATTAATGGTGTTAACAGGTAAATAGATAAACAATATGGCCTGAGGTTTTTTTTCCCTACAGGGAATTTTGACAAATTGATAGTGTTTCTTTCTTTAGATTACTGTTACTTGTTAAACTCATCTTTTCATGTTTTTAATTTTTCTGTGTCACAGAACCTAAATTGGTAATAAATCAATAAGAAATGTTTACATTCACTCAATGAAAAGTGTCATGTCTGAGCTCAGCATATATCGGAGCCACACATGGACATGTAAGTATCTTGTGTGTGGAGCTGTATAGGCAGGTGAATCTTCGAACTGCAAGGCCGGTCAAGGCTCTCCTGACATTTCTTCCTTTCTTCTCCTTCAGCTCTCCCTCCTCCACTAAGAGCAGAAAATGAACAAATTCCAGGTGAGATTTTTGTTTATTTATTCCCAGTTTGTTTAAAAATGGATTTTCTGAAGTTTATAAGGATTTATGTTTTGAAAATAGAGAAATAGGCAAAAATTGACATTAAGGGAAATGAAATCAGAGTAGCAAATCCAAAATAGTGCAGCAGGCAAATTAGATGCAGGATTTTTTTTTGAGACGGAGTCTCGCTCTGTTGCCAGGCTGGAGTGCAGTGGTGCCATCTCTGCTTACTGCAACCTCTGCCTCCCAGGTTCAAGTGAGTCGTCTTGCCTCAGCCTCCTGAGAAGTTGGGACTACAGGTACATGCAACCACGCCTAATTGATTTTTGTATTTTTAGTAGAGACTGGGTTTCACCATGTTGGCCAGGCTGGTCTAGATCTCCTGACCTAGTGATCAGCCTGTCTCGGCCTCCCAAAGTGCTGGGATTACATGGTGAAGCATTGCGCCTGGCCAGATGCAGGATTTTTAATTTTACGGAATTACCCAAGTTATTATAATGTTATTTCTGATTATTCTCATGACAATTCTGAAATAAATGCAATAAATTGTCTATAAGTATTTCTTGGTAGAAACAAAGGACATAGTTCCAAAGCAGAACTCAGTGCATACGCTTTTCAGGAGATGGAACGCTGAGGTTTGAATAGCCACCTTTCTGATGGTCCTGGTTCAAGAATAAAACCCTGACAATGTGGAGGAATGGAGGGGCTACATGTCCTCAAAATAGTTTTCTCTAAGTGTTTGTGTCAGCTTGTTCTTATTTCTAGGTTGAATCACTGACAGTTCTGACTTGTTTTCTGGGTTTCTCATCTGTGTTTCAATCTGATGAATGCAACCTTGCCCCCTCACCTAAACTCACCTGAATCACTTCTGGCAAAGGCCACCAAATCACACTCAAGGCCAGTGGATGTTTTTGCCTTTGTGTTACTTGCCTGGGCTGCTGCGTATATTGTTAACCATGGTATTTGTTTGGAGAGTCTCCTCTGTTGGTGTCTATAATGCCATCCTCTGAGCTGTCCTTTCCTAACTTTGATTTCCTCCCTAGTCCTCATGAAGGCATCTTTTCTTTTTGCTCCAGGCATTCCTTATCCATGGGTTTCCATCCTTAGCCTATGACTCTTCTTGGTCTGTTTTTCCTGACTGGTTTCATGTTTTTTTTTCCCTTAACAAAGTACTTTTGAATTAATAATATATTTACATGTTTTAAAAAAGTAAGTGACACAAAAGATGTACATAAATAGTCACACTCCCTTTGTCTGTTCATGCAGTTTCTCTAGTAGGGTGACATTTATTTATCATCTAAACTGAGACATTTTCACTGAGAGTGAAAGAGGGTCTATAAATAATTATGCCAAGACAACTGGCCTATATTGGGACAGTCCCAGACATACTGGAATGTGTGGTCATTCTACCATAGATTTTTTTTTTCTAGTTTCTCATAAACTTTGCCAGTGTTTCTTTATCCAGTTTAAAGAAGATATATATGTATATTGTTATTTCCTTTCTCCCTTTACTTAGAAAGGAATCTGTTATCCCTAGGGCTTATCAAACTTAGATGCGGTTGTGCATCCCTGGCATCTTGTTAACATGCAGAGTCTGGTTTAGTTGACATGGATGGGGTTCTTATTCTGAAGTTCCCATAACCTCCAGCTTAAGCTGATTCTGATGTTCGACATATACTATTTTCCGTTATTCCTTTTTCACTTAACAGCATGTTCCAGATATTTCTGTGATAGAACATGAATGGCATTTTCTCTCTATGTTATAATTGCATAGTAATTCAAGTGCAGGTGTCTGTAGTTTATTAAAGTACTTCCAACCATTTGCTGTGACAAACCATGTTGTAATGAATAACCTTATATATTTATAATTTTGTGTGTATATGTTTATATGTTAGATGAATTCCCAGAGCTTGATCAGCTTAGTGAGAATGCTTGTCCTAGAGACAGTATCATTCTGTTTGTCCATTGGCAATACATGGGAATGCTTATTTCTTCACAGCTTCTCCCATAGAATATGTGGTTCAACTTTTGGATTTTGGGCAACAGATAGGTAAAAAGTGGTATTTCATATAGTTTGCATCTGCGATTTTCTTCACTGAGTGAGGTTGAATACCTTTTCGTGTGTCTAAGGGTATCTTGTATTTATTTTTCTGTGAATTTAACTGTTTTTTTTTTTTTTAAAGACAGAGTCTTGCTCTGTCACCAGGCACCAGGCTGGAGTACAGTGGCGCAATCTTGGCTCACTGCAACCTCCGCCTCCTGGGTTCAAGAAATTCTTCTGCCTCAGCCTCCCGAGTAGCTGGGACCACAAGTGTGCATCACCATGCTCAGCTAATTTTTGTATTTTTTAGTGGAGATGGGGTTTCACTATATTGGCCAGGATGGTCTCGATCTCTTGACCTCATGATCCACCCGCCTTGGCCTTCCAAAGTGCTGGGATTACAGGTGTGAGCCACCACGCCCAGCCATGAACTTAACTGTTACATCTTTTGCCTATTTTTCTCTTGGGTTTTCTAGTCTTTCCCTCCCCCCGACAGTGTCTTTTACCCCTTTGTATTATGTGAGTTACAAGCCATTATTTTTTGGTATATCATTTGTCTTTCGATAATTGTTCATGGTATTTTTCCCTATGCAGAAATATTGGGTTATTTTTGTTGTCTAGTTTATTGATCTTTATGGTTTTGGACTGACTTATAGCGTTTGGAGACACAGTTAGAAAGTCCTTCCTGCTTCATGGGTTTCTATATGAAATATATATATTACATCTATAAATATATATAATACATAAATATTACATATCTTTTTTGAGATAGGGTCTCACTCTGTCACCCAGGCTGGAGTTCAGAGGCATGATCTTGGCTCACTGCCACCCCTGCCTCCACATTACTATTTTCTGATTGGATTGTTTTTAATGTATTGAGTTTTAATAGTTTTTTAAAATTTTCTAGATAGTAATCCTTTGTCAGATATGTGGCTTGCAAATATTTTCTCCATGTCTGTAGCTTATCTTTTCACCTTTCCAGGGTGTTTCACAGAGCAAAAGTTACTTTGATAAGGCCCAGTTTGTCAATATTTTGCTATGGCTGATGCTTTTGTTATCAAATCTTAAGAATTCTTGCTTAGCCCTATGTTCCAAAGATTCTCTCTTATTTTTTTTTATTTTTATTTTTTTTTTTACAAATTATATAGTTTTATATGTTATGTTTAAGTACTTCATCTATTTACAGTTAATTTTTGTATAAGGTATGAGGTTTACATTGAGGCTCAGTTTTTGCTTATGGATGTACAATTGCTTGCAGTGCCATTTGTTAAAAATTTTTTTCAACAGATTTGTGAAAATTCTATTGGACTGCTTTTGTACCTTTGTCAGAAATCACTTAAATATATTTGTGTGGCCCTATTTCTGGGTTATCTTCTGTGTTCTGTTGGTGTATTATCTGTGGCTCTGCTGTCTTGATGACTGTGATCATATAGTAAGCCTTAATATTGAACACAGTGATTCCTTTATTCCAGAAGAATAAACTTCATAGTTGCTTTAGGTATTCTTTTTCTTTTTTGGAGATGGAGTCTCACTCTGATCTCAGCTCACTGCAATCTCCACCTCCTGGGTTCATGTGATTCCCCTGCCTCAGCTTCCCAAGGGGCTGGGACGACAGTCGTGTATCACCATGCCCAGCTAATTTTTGTATTTTAGTAGAGATGGGGTTTTACCATTTTGGCCAGGATTGTTCAATCTTCTGACCTTGTGATCTGCCCACCTCAGCCTCCCAAAGTGCTGGGATTATAGGCTGGAGTCACTGCGCCCAGCTTTAGCTGTTCTTAGGGCCCGGGCCTTATTATATAAGTTTTAGAATAAGCTTGTCTGTTTATAAAAATCTTTGTTGGGATTTTGGTAGGAATTTCATCAAGATACTTATTTTAAGGATAAGATATTTTTTGATTGACTCTGCTGTTTTTTATAGCAGATATCTTTCCCTGAATTTAGCATTTTTTTGTATCTTAATCTAGTCATTCATTTAGAAACTATGACTGTTCTCTCTTACTAAATCTTGTTGAATTGCAAACTCTGTTCAAAGAGAGTTGGTATAGTTTAAATTGCTCACTTGTGATATAATGGCTATTTAGTATACAAGGAGTTTTAGGCTCTCCTAGCTGGACATTTGGGGTAGAAGAAAACCAGCCTGAAGTGCTTTCTTGGCCATTGCTTATAGTGTTAACTTATTTCAGCTTGCTTATTGGTGAACTTTAATGTCTTGCTGTGTAGCTGCTCATATGATATTTTAGCTTTAGCTATAATCAGACATGAAAATGTGGTTTACACATTCTTCAATCCTTTAAAATGAACATAGGCCCACCTGACTTGTGTTCTGAGCTACGTAAGAATGTTTCTTTTACAGTTTTTAAATCTATTTAAACTCCCACAGTCATCTGCTAGCTTTTACAGAAGCCAGTTTATCCTGGTGTCTTACAATTGTTCACCACTGTTACCTGCACACCATATGTTCCACTTTTAAAATTTCTTTAAAAAAAAAAAAGGATGTTTTTTTGTTGTTGTTTTGATGGAATGTAAGGGTGGTCTACTCCCTAGAGCTTGGCCTGTCTCAGTGTCTTTGGGCTTCTTTCATGAATGAGACTTCTATAGAAGGCCTGTCCAGATTCCTGCCCAGGCATCATGGCTCTTTCTCTGTTGTTGTCTCATTTGGTGCTCCAGATGCAAAGGCAGTTTCTGACATTTGTATTGATTTGCAATCCTTGGGCCATTATTTTTGGTTTTGTTTCCTTGTATTGGTATTTTGAAGTATTTCTGCTCAGAGATATTTTGGCAAATATATGTAGTTATATCGTTACTATTGTTTTTTGGTTACTATTATTACTATTATTATTTAAAGCCCTTTTTTCCGTCTGGAATTTCTTCTGGAATGATATTACATTTCTACAATCTGTCATCTATGTTTCTAAACTTTTTTTTTTTTTTTTTTTTTTTTTTATTAATTTTTTTT